TTCCCTGGCAACGTATAGCATCATGTCGGTGGACAAATTCAGATGGGAGTCTCGCAGGTGGGACGTGATCCATTTCGGAAGTTTGTCCCGCTTGTCGTGGCGTTGGTAGCGCTTGTCAGCGAACACCATCAAACCTGGCGCGCACACATCCCATGTGAGCAGGGGGAAAGGTCCAGCACCAAGTGACAGTGCAACCCTCATACAAACAGCTGCATAAAATCAAGAGCAGCGTTTCGACATCTTCCCCAGAACGGTTTTGTTCCAAGAGCCCTGGCCGTTTGTCGAGCACTCAGGCAATGTGCCACGAGAGATCATGGATGGCATCATCCTTGCATGGATGGACAATCGCGCTCAGATTTGGGGACATCACCTGATTGCTGCTGTGCTCAGCGGCGATCAAGCAAATCCCAGCATAGCAACCAGCGGCGGTGCGTCATATCATATTTCAGACGCCTACATTCCCCTCTGGCATTGCACGTGCCTTGGTCGCAGCAAGCACAGCATAATTGAACCGGACCCACCGCAGCGCCAACTGGAGCTGTGGCGACTGAGGCCCACCCAATGCCCACCCAGGGGCAATGACACCTTGATGGCGCGAACAACCTGCTATTCCAACAATCCAAAATGCTAGTCCAAATTCCGGTCACCGCAAAGGGCGACGAGGCCCGTTGCCACAAGCCCGGCGGCCAGCCTGCGCGGCCCACGGCCCCCCCCCCAGCTCACCATAGTCCGCCTTGGATCTGAGGACGCGACCCACGCACTGCGCCGCCTGCCTCAGCGCGTCGAAGTCCAGGTACGAGCCTTCCTGTATCTGAAAGGTTTCCCGGAGGTACTCCAGGCGCGCCCGCAGGATGCGCGACAGGGTGTACTGGTACGGCACGCCGAACATGACCACGCAGCGGCCGTAGTGCCTGTCGAAGTCGATGCCCTCCGCGACCTTTCCCCGGGCCACGCTGAAGAAGACGGCGCCGCGGCCGCAGTCGCAGGCGCGGCGGTAGTTGTCCAGCGCCAAAGTCGTCTCCACGACGTCCTGCAGGCGAAGGGCAGCTGTCAAGTGGTTTCCGAACTGCGGGTCTCCAAATATATGCAGTCGTGGGCGGCCGCATAGCGTCAGTTTATGCGCATCCTGACCGGCGACGATCGCACGTGCTTCGCAGCACCCCACCCCCTTGCCAAGCGCTGGGCCCCAAGAGTCGCTGCACAGTTAGTGTCCCAGGCAGGCGACAACAGGAATTTGGTGGCCGCACCTGGGTCTCGATGAACACGAGCTTGTGACGAGACAGGTCCTTGAGCAAGCCCAGCTCGTGCCACTTTGACACTATGGTGTCCATGTACAGGTAGCTCACGAAGAAGCACACAATGCCATCTGGCACCGTCTTCGCGAGCTCGACAAGCAGCCTGCCGTAGTTCTTCATCACCGAGGGATCCTGACGCATGCTGAACTTGGTGCTGACCTGCCATCGCCGCCAACAAACCAGTGAGGCACAGGCAGCAAAATTTTCACAATGGAAAGACAGTTTCTGCCCACCATGCTGTGCGAAAATGGCCAATCCAGCCCACACAGCTCACAAGCATGCTTGTTAGCCATTTCGCTCGGCTGAACAACAGATCGTTTAGGGCATTTTGAAAACTACCCCAAACAGGAATCTGTAGTACTTACTGGTTGCTGGTCAGCGCCCCTTGCGACCACCACCGGGCACAAGCACTCCTTTGTCAATGTCATGTTCAAGCTCTGAGCAACCACTGGATGAAAGTCCAAGATCTTCGGATACAAATCGAGGGGGCTCAGTGTCCCTGAGGTGATGATCACAGTCTGAAACCTCTGAAAGATTGGTTTCATCGCAAGTGAAGCATCCAAACATGCCAGCTGAATCACGGGGTCGGGGATATTGGGCATCCGTTCGTCATAGGGCTCGATGATGATTTGGAAACCCCGGGTATATGTGCCAACCAATGTACCAAAGTCAGCAACCAGCTGAATGGGAAGGAAGTCATCAGTGTCTGTTATTTCAAGTGTCTTCAGCAGTGACTGAAGCCTGTCATAGCAGAACCTGAATGGCACAGAAACAGTCACATCGATACATTGCAAGGCCACTACTGTCAACAATCTCAAACACTGGTTGAAACCAGCACATACAGAAACAAAGCGGCCCACTGGCCAAATGGCAGTACCCTAAAGAGTATCCATGCATGGTGAATGCGTTTCTGCCCTTGCCTCAAGGTCTTTCCCTCAATGGCGACAGTGGATTGCAGGTGCTGTAGGAAGGACTGAGGCCCTTGCGCTTCAACTTGCTGAACCTGCATTCGGGATTTCAGGTACTCGACAAAACGGCGCATAAAGGCAATGAAGTGCTCAGCCCTCCTGATGTTGCCAGGTACGGCCTCTTTCAAGATATCTGCTGGCAACGTTGGATTCGCCAGCCATTCCTCCCCCCCCCTGGCTATGGCCCCTTGGTTTGCAAGCCCCTGGACAAGTCTTGCATACTCGTCTTGTAGCCGTTGGGCATCAGTGGCCTTTGCTCGTTCAATTTTCTACATCCACATGCCTGAAATCAGTGGCCATGTTGGATAGTTGCTGTACAGCAACACAGCAAGCAATCAAAGGAGCTACCTCTGCACAAGGCAATCCTGGGCGGGTTTGCCTCAGACGTATTGGATAGGGTACAATGCGCTTGTATCTGCTAAACAATATCAACCAGAGCTGCCAGTCTCCTGAATGGTTGTTCTTGGGATGTTACTCCATCTCTGGACCACAGCCTGTGGTGGTAGAATACTTCAGGGCACACCAGCTAAGCACAAAATGCTCACATATAATGTTCGTGGGAAGTGAGGCAAGTTGCTAAAAGGTTATCTACAAGCTATCGGTTCCAAAATTGGGCCCTTTCAATGCAGCTATTAATGTTTCTTTGCCTTCAGGCCACTTCATTTCATACCAAAACGGCAGTCAGTGTTGCAGAAAATCGAACAGATTCATTTTGATTTCAGCGCACTGCACTTTTTGAGCTTTGACCTTGCGTTGGATAGAATAGAGCCAAAAATGAAGTGAGTAGTCACGCTCCATGAACAAAAGCATTTGTTTGCATGCACCCACTTGCTGCAGTCTGGTAGTGTTCCTTGATGCATGTTCCAGTGTCTTCTGTCTCAGGTTTACGCTGAGAGCCTCAATGCACACATTATCGATGTTGTGGGCTTCATCGAACACCACCACACATTCCTTCTCCAGTTCCTTCGAAACCATGTTTGCCACCTTGGGGTCAACCATGTACTGGTAGCTGTACACAACAATGTTGGCAAATGCAATCATATGCCTTGCCAGGAAGTATGGGCACCATCCTTTCTTCCGGCCAAATACTCGCAAGTCGTGAAGAGTGTACACACCTGACATGCAGCACAGGGAAGGCCACAACCTCAACAATGTAGAACCACAGAGTCAACCAACGCCAATGGTGACAACTCCTTGAACAAAGCCTGGACAAGGTTCAATCCAAGCTTCAGCACCAATAGACAGTGTCCAGCACAGCATTGCTGGCAACTGGATCTGGTTGATCAGTACCTGGATGGTGCTGACAGTATATTATGTTTCGTTTCTTCCGGGCAGATCGGTCTTCAAACAGTACCTGGGGGCAGAAGAGCTTCTGATCCAGCCTTCTCATGGGCCTCGAACAGATCACACACCTCAACGTCATCACCAACTTTGTTCCTTTCCCTAACCCATGAAGCTGTCAGCTTCCGGCACATTGCATCCACACTTTCGCGGGACCCCTCCTCTTCATGCAGACACACGTCACACATCAGCTGCAAGAGACTGTAGCCCAATCAAGGCACACTTCAAGGCATAGGACCCAGCCCAACAGAAGAGAAATTCAGACCTGTGTCTCATAAGATAATGCACCAGCTTATCTTAGTGCTTGGGGGTTGCAGCTTTCCAAGCGGAAGGCAACCTTTTGTGGCTGGTGCTGTGGTCATTGACAGCTCAAGAGCCTGAGTTGCCACAGCTGCCTCAGGCGCCCCACCTGACACCTTGGGATGAATGCACAAGTTTTTCCTGGAGCTGAGCCCAAGGGCTAATATTTGTGGGGTGTCCCTGCCCGTGCACGCCCCATGGTAGTCCATGAGCTCCTTTAACTCTGTGAGGACCTGCATGAGATACCCCATCATGAGCAGCCGATCGGCGACACCCTCCTTTTCCAGGGCTCGATGATCTCCATCTCTGGGAGGAGCAAATGTCCAAATCCTTTTTCACTGCATTGTGCAAGCATGGCCAGCCAGCAGTGTTGTGGTTGTGTGACACGCCTGGGGTGCTGACCTGGACACTGGCCACGTCTGCGTTGCCTCTTGCTTACCTTTTCCATCTCAGGAACTGTCCGGGAACAATAGATCAGCTTCCCAACTTCGGGGTGGGCAGCCTGGTAGGAAGTGATGAGAGACAGCAGCGCTATTGTCTTCCCGGTGCCCGTGGGCATCTGAGGAAAGCACAAAACAATGGGGCAACACCACAGGGAAGGCCACAAAGCGGCGGGGGCCAGGACATGCTCCAACGTAGTCCAGTTGATGCACTGCCAAGAGAGTACAGATGCTGCACAGCCTTTTGGACACCTCGTCCCCAGGGCTTGCAAATTGCTAAGTTGCGATGCGGCCAATGGGATTTGGAGTTTGGGAGCGCTTCAAAACTTCATGGCATGCACCCGCATACCTCAAGCAGACAGTGGCCTTTCGCGTCCAGGGCCTGCTTCAGCGACACCATGTATTTGTATTGCTCAGGGTATATGAACTGATAAGGAAAGTACACGTCCAGCCCTTCGAGCCGAAACTTCATTGTGCGTGGGCACCCGTGGCCAGCGACGGCAGTGGAGACTCGCTCGGCAGCAATCGGGCTCCACGTTTCCGTCAGTCGGGTATAGTAAACATCTTCACAGTGCCGGAGAGCCAAATATGAAATGGGCACGCTGGAGGCGACTCATTGCACAATCATGCAGGCTCTGACGCGCTGAGAGGTCCTTATCGGCGCGAAGTTGATGGCACTGGCCGGAAACCAAAATGGCATAGCCCTCTGTGCCAACAGACCCTTGTTTGATCATCATTGTCACCTGGAACATAATTGGTAACGTTGCTGCTCCAGCCCGGACGTGACTGGTCGGGGCACGTCCTGATGTTCTTTGAAAGTACTACATCACATTTCAGAGTCTGGGTGACAATCCCGACAGACAAGAAATATAAGCGATCTAAGATAAACATGTCCTGCTGTTGTCAAGCGCCACGAACTCATATGCACGTGTGGGCTAAAGCGATACAACCATGATATGTTTGGGGATGCACGACACAACACCGTTATGTGGATTTGGAATATTGACTTCTGGTCCCGGATATTCCCATATTGTAAAAGCCACAAACGTTTCCAAATCCAACTGTTTTGTACTTTGATTTGTGCAACAGTCGCAGGTGCAAATTGCAGTTTATGCAATCCGTACAACAGGGGCAAAAAATGCCAGGAGAGGACAACACAGCAAAAATGAAGCTTGAGGGAATTTTGCAGCGCGAAAAATGCAAGCCCCCTTGCTCAACTACGGTAATGGTATATTCGCCTTAACCTCCGGCACTCAGTTATCTATTCTTTGCATATACCGTTGTGTATATTGGCGCAAAATGCAGTGACGATCGATCGCAATTAATAAGATGCACATGTTCGACTCCATTGTGCTCAAAGATTGCTGAGATTAGGGTTCACGAGGCCAATCCGTCAACGACAGCGTACATGGCAAATCTGCGCCAGGTGCGCTACGCCAGGGTGCATCAGAACACGGGGCTTATGATTCGCCCACATGTCTATCATGTCATTGTGATGTGACATGTTGGGCATTACTGTCCTCTCCAAGTCGAGCGCTGCGGAACTGTTTAACAGTTGTTTGTATCGACATTACAAACAGCATGGCTATACCAGCTCTTTCGAATGCAGCACCGTTCTGTATTGCTAAATTGTCATATTTTTCACCCCATCGTGCCAGATATGGGGAGAGCCAGCCAGGTTTCGGGAGACAATGCTCAGCACACATGCATGCCTCTCTATCAATGCAATGCGAGCCACGTGCTCAACGAAATCCAGGGAAATGAAAGAGGGCGCAATTTTGAAGGAAGAGGCACCAGCGAGCCAAAAGGGACAGGGATGTCAACAGAGCAAGAAAGGAAGGAGAAAGAAGGAAACTGGACGGGAGCCAAGCAGGTGCGCAGGACATTTCTTCCCATGTTCCCTGCAGGGCATGGTCGCACTGGGGCAGGTGTGGCGTGTCACTGGGCCGGCGAGGGCTCATTGACTGTCAGTCAGCTAGACTTGGCGGCCGCCTCCGCCAAAAGTGGCTGCATGGGTGGCAAACTAGCACCGGGGCAACTCAGAGGCTGACAAGCACGAGTGCCACCACCGCTAAGTGCCCAATTTCGCTTGAACGTTGTTGCGAGCCCACTTTGCAGCACATTTCACGGTGCCCACTGTGTATGCTCATTCCTTTCACCACCTAAGCAAAAAAGTGGCTGCAAGCTAGATGTTTTGTGTTGCAGTTTATTGAAGGGTGAATACAGTAGCGTGTTTGAACCCTCCAGCGAGCAGACGCAGGTGTCGAAATATGCGAATGAGAAGCGCCGCCTTCGGGCAAACAGCGAATGGGCTTTGGTGGACACATTCGAAGTCATGATGTGCAATGATGAGAAATACGATAGAATGTTGAGGAGAGAACGTGTCCAAGGTAATTCGTGACATATCGCACAGTATTTCTTTTAAATGAACGCTCCCAAAGCTTTGGCGCATTGTTGTGGCGGTATGGCGCTACATTGCCACTGGTGCTTCTTTGTGTGAAAGGATTACTCGACGTAAATTTGAAAACTTGTGGGAGGCAGTTAGCCTGAGCAGCACTCCCTTACACAATGCAATGCAATGGTGCGCGAGCGCAAGCAGCAGGTAACATGATGTGGATCCAACCCGTCGCATTTTTGCTTAGATTTGTTGTATCGGCTAAACAGTTTTAAACACCTGTATAATCCGTTGTGAGGAAATAGTGAGGGCACCCAGTTTGCTGATTCATGTTCCTGGCCATGCTCAGTCGACCAAAGACAGCATCTTGATAGTCAAATGAAGGAAAAGAATCTGAAAAAGCAGAAAGAGCTAGAGGAAAGAGAGTGGGAGAGAGAACTTGTCGGAATGAAGGTGCAAGCATACAATGAAGAGGTGCAACAGACTTTGGAGCGGGAAAGGGCCAAAAATGATAGATTGAAGATTGAGAGGAGAGAGCAGGTAGGGCATGTACCATCGCTCCTGGGGCTGCATGCGAATCCACGTTAAGCCGCATCGTGGGATGGGAGGCTACAAAAAGATTTAGCGAAATCAGCACAGCATCTACATCACCTGAGGAAATAGGTACTGTACAGGCTAAAGACCTTGAGCGACATGAGCCGCGCCAGAATGCCATGAACTGAGTTTTCGGCAGCCAGAAGAAGGACGCCGTCTGGGTTGCTTCGATCAGACGTCGCAGCAGTTGTCGATTTTTCTGTTTATATCATGGTCGGAAAGTGTCAATACAAATGTGCAATTTCTTTAGGTGGATACTGTCATTGCTGAAAGGGAACATGCCCAGAGGAAAAAGTCTAGGGAAGACAAAGCGGAATTAGAGAAGGCGCAGAGAGAGTTAGCGACACTCGCGGAGGAGCAGATGCGAAAAAGAGAGGCCGCTCGCCAAGACATGGTGGTGGCGCTGGCCGAAAACAAGGCGCAAGTAGCTGCCAGGAAGGAGGCGCAGAGATTGGAAGCTGTCAAGGACGAGGAAGTGATGCAGGTAGCTGGAGAGGGTGCGCATTGCGGGCGACCATGCTCATGCGACCGAAGTCCATGGACCCTGTGTGGAGCGCCGACGCCATTAAGCACATACCACCTTTAGGAGAATGGATCCACTTCGCAGGAGCGCATCCGCTCAATACTTTAGATTGCTGAACTGAAGTATCGCATATCGACTTTTTTGTAAATGCCTGTGTGCATGGGATTGAATCGCGCCTCATCCCAAGCGGATTCAAGCAACGACCTGACGCCTCAGTGAATGCTGCAGAAATCACTACATCTCGAATCTGTTGGGCCGCGCAGTTCATACGTGTTCTCCCACGATTCGTAAAGAATGTGGGGCACAAATTTGCGTGCTTGCCGATGGAATGAAGTCGCACATGTGCATTTCCACAGGAAATGCTCAGGTTCCTGGAGAAGCAAGAACGCGACCGGGAGCAGGCCCTGAAGGAATTCCAGGAGCGCGTGGCGGAGCGTTCCAAGAAGGCCGGTGAGCAAGTTGTTGCTGAGACGGAAGCCAGATGCCAAAGGGAAGAGGAAGTCCTGAAGGCTGCTCAGGAGGCAAAGGAGGAGCAGATGAAGAAAAAAGAGAGGGACATAATCCAGCAGCGGGAAAGTATGCTGCGCGATCTGGCAGAGGCAAGAAAAGCTCAACTAGACGAAAAGAGGAAGCAAGAAGAGATAGCCAGGGAAGAAGTAGCGAAATACGTTGACGAGGTAAATGCGTTCCTCGTAGATGTGCGCATTGCAGTGCTCAGGAGTGGTGCCCGTGGCTTATCTGCCTCCATGTCTCTTCAGGATTAATGCTGCGCCTGCACTGCGTAGCATTGCGAATAAAGCGACATGGTATTCCAGCTGCGGGCATGAGGACATTTGCATTCACACTCACCTATGCAACGGATTCCCATTCATGTTGTTTCACGGCAGCTGCACCACGGCTGCACGGGCAGCTGTGGGTGAGTGCATATATGGAATCGCATGTTGGTGGAGTATCGAGATATTAACATGCAGACACTTTTAAGGAAACGATCCTCTCTATCTCTTGTGGCACAGAGGAAAGGCATTGCCGACCTCCCGCAAGCTAGATGATTATCATATAATTGCCGGACACGAAGATCATGAAGGGTTCTAAGGACCCACAACTCAAAACTAAACCCGAAATGATCTTCATAGACCCGCCGGTCTTCAGTACTTGATGGCTTCATGACCTTCAGGACCATCATGACATTCATGACTTCATAACTTCATGACCTTTATGATTTCATGTCCGGAAAGCGTATCAGACATTTGCGGCAAGCTGTTGCATGTATCTTGGACTGCACGGTGTCACCAAGCAGGCTTGGCATTAGGTACAGGCTCAAATCTGCTTTGCACAATCACGGGGGGGAGAAGCAGCCCGACGATCAGCAGTTTCTGCCAAAATGTTACTATCCCAGCCGCTGGCAACAGCAGAGCTCAGTGTTTGCTGCCTGAAAGCAGATGCGCCAGCGAAACGAGCATGCTGCCGCAAAAGAGGTAGACGAAGCGAGAGCACGGAGGGAGCGCAATGTTGCCCACAGACTGGCACTGGAAGGCCAAATGCAGGAAAGGCGAGAACGAGATTTGAGGGATGACATTGGCATGGATGTCAGGGAGCAGCAGCTGAACGCAACCCTACTGAACCAAGCGGGGAGGGTTGCTGGAAGTCCCCACCCTGTGCCCCTCATGCACTGATGGGATGCGTCAGTGGCACGTTCGACCCATGTTGCGCCAATGCATATTCGGCTCTGGCGCGCAAATGGCAATCGCCCCTGCTGGTACTGCGGGGGTGGCATTGACTTCGAGGGGCCATGTCGACAGCCGCAGGAGTCACCCCAACAAGCAGTCATGTGTGTGTGTGTGCGCACCATTGCGCAGATGGGCAGCTGCCAGGTGCATTATCTTTGCGGCCAATTGTCTGCGCACCAGCTAAATTCGATGGGACGAGTTTCCCAGTCTCATTCGCTATTGCACGTGAGTTAAGCTCCTCTTCACGCGCAGGTTGGAGGGTCCAAAGTTGCCTGTGCCCACGCCCCGGGGGATACAAAAATGGACATCTACACAGAAATGTGAATCGTGGCCAGCGCACTGTCCTATCTATTTGTGGGATTGATCTCTCACACATGGTGCTGTGATGGTTGTATTCTTGTAAGAATTTTTGGCCTTTCCAAGCGTTCGTGGCCTCATTTCTTGCTATCCCCCCATCACGACCCATTCTTGACCTTTCATTCTTCTGCCAGAATCCATCCCTATTCGACTCCACCTTACCGTAGCTGTGTAGGGGCTCCCCATCCACCCCACCCCACTCGTTGGGAACCTAGCACATGGGCGGAGGGGCCCTTCTAGCCGTAGTTGGTTACCTCCTATAGGCCAGCCACGGCCCTGGAATTTACGAGTCATAAATGGGGTCATAGCCAGGGGTCCTAAATGGAGTCATAAGTTATGCAGCTGTCGGCTCCTGCTTTGGTCGCATCCGTCCGCCCAACATTTGGGCAGAGTGACTACTTGTCGAACTCGCAAGCAGGGGAGCGCCTGTACATTGAAGTTGCCGCACAATCGATCGCCTTACCGTGACAGCATTATTGGCAAGGGCAACCTGCAACCGGCTGTGACCTGGACCTCTGGCATACACTTTTGATACACACTTGCCGTGGTTGGCGCCATGTTGCGGTACGGCTGCCCGCCTTCTCCATATGTCAGTTTGCGGTCTTGGTTGGATTCCGGTAGGTGGACATCATAAGAACCCACACTGGCACCTTCCTAGCGGATCCAGGGTCACAGGGAACGGGACCACGAACATTGCCTGCGATCTCAACTTCAGCCCCTGGACGTTCATCGAGCCGACTGCTCAAAACTGAAGTTCAGCCCGCTGTGTTGTGTGGATGGAATGCATCTAGATCATGGGAGCTGCGGGTGCCAGTTGATCAACTGGCGAAGAACCGTGATTCTTGCCATATTCTCCCGAAGCACACACCAAGAATGCCAAACCACAAAGCATGCTGGCAACTGTGAGCCCCCTTCTGTTGTGTCCTTGCACACCACCATTCCGCGCTTGCATGATCATGTGACGCGATGTCAGAATTTTTGGAGCCACATAAACTCTTGACCGCATCCAGCCAGAGGGCAGGACTACCTTGCGACTTGTGTGCAATTGTCGACAATCGAATGTGGAGAAATTTGACGTGAATTGCGATCAACGCTCAAAGATAAATCCACACGGCAACCGCTTATGCAGCCGGCGCTGGCCAACACATCATCACACACAACCAAGGCGCATCATCTCCACCACTTTTGACAGCACGTGGTTCACTACTCGTTGCTGTTTGCGCACAACTACAAACCTTCACACTGCACCATCTGGCTGTCTGAATAGGCAACATACATGGAAGCCACAATCTTGATGTTCTTACGACAGTTGCAGAGCTCTCGACTGCGTTTCCGCCGTTCCAACTTGCAGAATTGTAGACTTCAACCTCCCTTGGATGCAAGGTATTCATCCAGCATTCCATCATCATCTGAACCACGCAAATATGAGCTGCAAACTCTGAGTTTCATTCTGATATTCAATAAGCAATGTCTCTGCCATGAGCACATTGCGTGCTCAAACTGATCCTTTTGCCCATCCCTTGCAATCTCAAATCACAATATTGCAAAACAAAGCCCACAGTGTGGTTGTGGCGTTTGCAACTCAAATGGTCAACACAAGCACACACCATGTTGATTAGCAGGTAGGCAGGCAAGGACTAAACATTCCACTTACAAACACCATCTAACAGCTGCACATCGAGTTCAGGTTCCTTTGACGTTCAGGAGTTTGCGGTCCCTCCCCCCCTGGGTTGAGGTCGTGGGGGTTGCAGGTGGCACACAAAATGAGAAGACTGTGGTAAACACCGCAGTTGTATCTGGCACCAGTGTGTGTGGTAAGGAGACAGCTATGGATACGTGAATGCAGTGCTCCAGCTTCTGCTGTGAGGCTAGGCCAACAAGATCAGACAGCATGGATTGCACCCCAGCTACTGACCATCGTCATCATCATAGTCCACAGCATCAATATCATCCAATTGATCGTCCTCCTCTTCATCCTCAAATTCGTCTTCTTCGGGCAGGTCGATACCAAGGTCATCTTCCTCAACCCTTTCTCTTTGAAGGAACCACTGCTTTCCAGTGGTTCCTGTCTTCTTCTCAGCGATTTTACTCTGTTCTTTCAGCCTGTTTGAACAAGAGGAACATCAGGCTGTGCCTCGATGGTGTAAACCCACAACAACTGAGCATTAGACAGGGCTGACTTTCATGCGATGACAGTATGGACGACCATTGTGTCTCACTTTGCAGCATTCTCTGCCATCTCATTGTCGAATTTTGCCTTCCATTCTGCAAAGTTCTCCGGCGTTACGGGTGTCCCTGCTGACCGTTGGGCTTGTCTCCTAGCCTCCTCTTCTTCTGCAGCACGCTTCTTGGCTTCAGCCTCATCAATTACCTCATCAGGAACGTTGGCCTGGTCGTGCACCATAAACAGAACAAATCTAGCTTGGGCCTATCAGCCATACCCAGACACTGTGGAAGTAGTGGCTAGTACCAGCCACTGTCACCACACTGATGCCCACAACACCAACGTTTGTACTTGCATAGGGAAGATTGAATCCAGCCCCTGCAAGATATTGTGCAGGATCTGGTAGATTGCTTTATACCGCCAAAGTATGATATTGCCAGAAGGGTTTCTGTCAGTTTGTAATGGCAATGCACACTGTCTTGACAAAGCTGGAGGAAATTGCTTTCCCCTTGCACTCCACTTTACCTTGTTTCTCAGCAACTCTTTTGCACAAGTGATCAGCGTGTAGATCATGGCCATGCCCATGTTTTCATCTACAGCTTCAAGAACAAGGTCTTGAATCTCCTGGACATCCTCTTTACTCAGACCAAAAATACTGCACAAACAAAGAACACCTGTCAAGAGCAGACACAAAGGATGATCAGGAGTTAGCAAGAGAAGAGCACCACAGCTGTGTCAATCTTGTCTCCTGTTGTATTGTCAGGAAACATTTGCAAAACAGTAGCTGTCGGTCTCAGGATTGCTTCAAGGACACCAGTATCTTTCCAGGCACCACACTGAAGAATGTTGAGTACCAAACAATGCCATGAACAATCCTTGCAAGCCTTGTGTGCTAGGCTGAGGAGTCAATGTCAGCATGGCACACTGATCATTACCTGCGTACTCTGACGTTTGGAGGCTCTTCCGGGTATTTGTCTGTGTGATTGAAGATGAATTCCAGCTTCACTGAGCACAGATGACCCAAGACTCAACATTATGCCCCTGGCATAGGGAACGGCAAGGTGGCTGAAAGAGCTGGGACTCGGTCAGTCAACACAGCTCCCACCGTTGCTCTCCCCTTCCTCTCCTTCCTCCAGAGGATCAATGGTAACACGGTAGACCTGATGGGAGCCCCAACCATCTGGCACCATTCCTTCGTATTCTGAGTTGCAATCGTACCATGTGTCAGTGCATGCCAGACACAGAAGCCCTGCCGCAACCACGACAAACGGCAGGATCCACTGTGCCCGCATCAACATCCGCAAGGAGGACAATAGCACGAGCGAAGCTGCAGTCCAACGCGGAGAGTTAATGCCACGGCCCTGCAGATTCACAGTCCCAGAATACGTGCCGAGCACCACCTTGCAGGTCGTCCATCAGGATGGCCTGCAAAGCCTCGAGCTCCATCTCCTGTTCCCCTTCGTGGTCCATGCTGCGCAAGCGGGGCCAGCACCTGGCGTATGGGGGCGCCGCTCGCCCAAGAGAGACGATTCCCGAATGCGCTGCGCACGGGCGCTGGGCGTCGGCGCGCCATGGACAATTTGCGACAGCTGCCCTACACTACCTTGGAAATAGTGCAAGTTCATCCGAAGCGGGCCTCCCAAGTTCTTTGAAACCCGCCCAGCGGGGCCCTCTGAACAGGCCAGGGGCCTCCGTTGTTCGCGTCTCCAGCGTCCGACCCACAGAAAGCGTGGGCGCAGGCTCGGTGTTGAGCATCCGCGCCGCGAGCACGGGCGGAAATGGCGGGCATGCAGGAGCCAGGGACACGGGAGATCCTGCGCCAAGCTGTCAGGGGGGCCCAAGAAACCACGGAGTCAGCGCAGCGCTCCCTGCAGGTGGCAGTGCGCACGGTGTCCTCGTCGTGCACAAAGTCGTCGGGAACGTGAATGTCGGATGATGTTGAGCTGCATGGAGTGCTTGGGTTGGAATTATCCAACTGCATGGGGATTGCCGACAGTGTCTTGCCAGCACATGCTAATCGGCCGCAGGGGCGCAGACGTGTCGGCGAGCATCCGCGCCGCTGTGCATTGTGCGGGTCGTTTGGCCTTGTGGAGGAGGCAACTCTCCGTTCGGAATCGCTCCGCGCGAGGCGCTGTCGCGGAGGCTGCTGTCGTTTTTTCTGGACTAGCACCGTCGCGACCTTGTGGACATCGTGATGAAAAGGCGAAGCAAGGCAGCCCTTGCCAAAGTGAAGTCCCGCGTGATGATAGCATATAATGGCATATGATGGAATGCACTGCTTCTGGACACTGATGGCTGATGCACCTTCTGGTGGATGCCATGTGGAAGCAGATTGTCAATGACACCAAGGCGGTCCAAGTGGCGACCTTGGAGAGCCTGAAAGCTCAGGGCGAACAAATGAAGAGGATACATGGAAACATACAGAATGTAGGTGAACTTGTTGCGCAACAGTGCGTGTCAGCTCTTTTGCTTGTCTGTTTCATTGCTACAGCCTGGGATACCACCAACACACTTTGAGCGAGCACAGAACATGCTGTATCTCAATCCGAAGCTCACAAGCTTGTATGCCATATGCATTGTGCACTGCTTAATCCTGTAAACGCTTCGCTTTCGAGTTCTCTGTTCCACGTTTCCAGGTTGAGGACGGTGTGGATGAGGCAGAAGTGGTGCTGGACTCCATGGTGTGTTGTGGATGCTTTGGGGGAAAGGCCAAGGCCAGATCGAAGGCCAAGAGGACTGCCAGGCATGTTGCTAGGCTGTGTGTGCTGTAAGGGGGTGTATTCAAATGGATATTAGTACTCTGGGGTGGGCACCTAGAGTTGCTGATCTCGGAGCCCCCTGTTAGAATGTCTAAATACTTGGCCAGTGCAGTGTGATTGTTGTTTGCAGCGCTCTTCCCATCTGTGTCCTGTGTGCATTGTTGAGCGGATCAGATTTGAAGACAAGTGGCACTTGCAGGACAATGTTTTGCCACCAGAGGGGCAGGGACTCCAAAGATTGCTCTGCAATGAACTCCAGTGTTTTGTTTGAAGTCATGTATTAACTATGTGCATTCTTACCTGTTGAAAATGTTGTTGCCACTGGAAAATTTAGTCTTCTGATGTTTTTGATGCTAGGGCTTTTGCCCAAACGAATGGGTCTTTGAATAGCAGAAAACCTGTGGACAATAGCCACAAGGTAAGAAGAACGTTTTGTTTTTCTATGTCAATGTTCTGGCGTGTCAAGGATGGCTACCAATGGTCTGCAAGGCTCAAATGGTGCTAGGAAACATTGTATTCAGTGAGGGCACATGATTTCTTCTGATTTGCTTGTTTGGTTCCTGAGTAGCAAGCCCAAGGTGCGCGAATGTAGACAAGGGGAGGGGAGGGTTGCAGTGAGACAGCAAGGGTGGTGGCAGGGTGGCACAGGGCAGGGCTTCACAGCAGATGTTGAACATGGTTTACTCAGCAATAAATGTTTGTCTCTTACCTTCTGCTGTGGTACTGCCTTTAAGTATCGATAGCTTCAGCAGTATTGCTGACTAAGCATTGTCCCCTGCACGCTGACCTTGGCTTTAATGTTGTTGTTGGGCAGGGAGACAACAAGGAGATGCGGCTTTATGGTCCAAAACCAGGCACCTTGGGTGCTGCTGAGAATGGCGCATATGGTGATATGAAGCACTGTGTAGTGGAAATGATGGGCCGCTGTTGTTCAGTAGTGTCGCCTGCCGATTTGTGTGTGCTCTTACACTTAAGAGAGTATCCAGTTGCAGAGTCAAATCTTACACATTTGCCATTGTGGCAATGGTGTGCATCATGCTTGCTTTCCCGGTTGACCGGACTTCCAAGTTGCTGACACCCATTGCACACCTTGCAGCTGATGAGTACGGCGTTATCCAGGAGCACAGGGAGAAGCAAGACAACTACTTGGACCAGATCAGCGAAGCCCTGGACGTCATAAAAGATGGGGCTAAGGTACAAAAGGGGCCCCTTACTCAACCAACGTTTCTGTGCGTTTGCTTTCACTGGTACATTATTGTCAGGCCTGGTGTGCATGGAAGTGTAGTTGTCAGTTTACAGGGAGTAAATGCATCGGCAACATGCCATCATAGCAGTCATCAGCATCCACAAGTGTCTGCATCATTGTTGCTGAGAAAGGAAGGAAAAAATGTGCCAACAGTCAATGTTGGCTTGTGACAGATAGTAGAGCTTTCAAACACCCTCTAATGCTGCCTGTGGGTGCTCGATCACGGCCGCTGCATATGCATAAGTTTTTGATGGGGATGGCATCTTTGTGCAAGCTAGTGGCCACTCATTTCCCCTAGCCAGTGTATGCACAGCACCTCCCCCAACTTGATGTGTTTAGACACGTCCGCAATCGTGGATGTGCCTTAACATCGGCAGTGATTTCTACATAGCCAGGGGTTGCCAGGATGAGTGCTGTGTAATCCTGGGTAGAGAAGGGAGTCTAGAGGAATTCGAACAGCTGATCGCGCTGCTGCTTTTCCACAACACAGTTTATGGTCTTGGATACATACCTTGCTTGTCCATGCAAAAGGACAGTCAGCTGTCTGACTTCCACATTTCTGCTGTAGTTGAAAGATTCTCCTTTGTGCGTTGCAGGAAATGGGCGGGGAGGTGGACAATCAAAACAAGATGATGGATGGGCTCGAAAATGGAACAGTCAATGCCCAAAAGCGAGTTGCGGATGCCCAGGGGCACAAGGTCATACGCAAACATGCGAAGGGACTTGGGAGGAGGATGAAATAGAGCTCCATGATCTGCGCCTCCACTTCAACAATAAGGGGTGCTTCTTTGGGACATGACTGGCAAAACAAGGCATGGCTGCGGAGGCCACTGTGAATTTGAAGATAGAGGGAAGTCGGAGCAGGTGATTGATGGACCTCCATGGCAGGGTTTGTGATTCAGGCAATTAGCTATTTAAGATTTGGGTGTCCCTCCTGTACAGTGTTGTCCGAGCAGGCATTTGTGGGACAATTTTAGCCTCCTGCCTGACCACAGAACAGGTCCCAATTTGGTGCGGTGTTGGCAGGACGAGTGTTGCACAATAAGCTGCAAGATGCATGCTTTCCTTGGATTGGTGGGCCATGTGCTCACAGTGGGGCTATATTTTAGGATGCCAGGTAGGCCTGTTGCAGCCCAGGCTGCTTCCTTGGTGAACTAGTTGTACATAAATGCAACCTCCATCCACGGCACGGCATCTTCGATTTGTAATTATCCACTCCGGTGGTCTTTCATTGTGCTGGTTGCTTTTCATAAGTCTGTTTGCACTGGAGCGCATAGACTTTCTTCACCCAAACAGTGCTGCAAATATCACTGCACGTTCAGAACGAAGATCTTCCAATCGCTGTACCAGAGACAACAACCCCCCCAACTCAGTCCAAGTAGAACATCTGACTGGCAACGTCGGATACCATCCAGTCAAAGCCATCCAGGAGCCCCTCACCAGTCATGGCGCTGCACCCTGCAATGTGCCAGTGCCTTTTGGTAAGCAGCCTGAGCTCCAGAAAATCCGCGATGTCTTGCTCGCCTAGGACCCCCTTCATGTCCTGCTTGTTGGCCAGTATCAAGAGCGCCGAGCCTGCCAACCTCTCCTCCCTCAACAAGTTGTGCAGCTCTTCCTTGCAATCCTGCAGCCGGAACTTGTCCGCACTGTCCACCACCCAAACCAGCCCGTCCGTCTTCTCATAGTAATTCCTCCAATAGGGCCGAAGGCTTTTCTGGCCTCCCACATCCCAGATGTTCAACCTGTACTTCCCGTAGCTGATGGACTTTATGCTGAAGCCCAAAGTTGGGCTTACGGTTGAAGTGTCCTCCCCATTCAGGCGCTTCACGATGGACGTCTTGCCAGCGTTGTCTAGGCCTACCATCAGCAGCCGAATCTCCTTTTCCTTGCGCTTCATCTTCTTTATTATTGTGTGCAAGCCCATGGTTCCTTGTCAGGTCGATCGCTCGCCTCCTCGTCAATCTCTGAACGGCTCCTGGCAGCAAAGCAGACGACCTCCTTGTTGGCGGCTCCTTCGCGCAACGATGGACAAGGGGATTGCAGCTCGAATCTACAGAGAGACACTCACAGAGAATCATTCGACGCTGAATCCACCTCCGCCACTCTGTGTCATGAAGGTACCGTTCGTTAGGAGCGGAGGGATCAATCTGATTGTCTGGGAGGAGCGGAAGGCACTCACGGGGCTGTTGCCGCAGCCCCCACGCATGGCAGGTGTCTGGCAGGACTTGCACCCCGATATTAACAGGCCGGCTGCACCACACCACGACCTGCTGCTGGTGCTGGTGCTCCGTGCCTCTCACACAACGTGCTTCGTCTCCACACTCGAACTCCTGTCAGTCAGCGGCGTGCCGAATCAATATACGGGAAGATGCTGTCAATTTTGTTACGCTTAGCTTCAATTTGACACCAAAGGCATGTCAATCCTCTTGCCGCAGCCAGGATGACTCAGCAACATTCCCTAAGAGTATGGTGCCACTTTATCAGGTTTCAAGGATGAAAAGCAGCCAAAGTTGCAGCGATTGTAACAGGCTGAAAATTGGGATGCAAACAACCATGATAGGTGACGGGGGCAGCCTCGAAGAGGGGCAGCCTCGAAGGCCGTCACTTGGGATTTTCCATGGCTTTTTATGAAGATTGAATGCTTCAGGGAAGTTTCCGGACAAGTCATGAGTTCTCTGATACTTTTTAGCTACACCTTCGGCATCTTCCAAGTTTATGCCAATTTTGTGGCAATGACCATTGTGAGGGCGAGAGAGTGGTTGATATATGATATATGATATACGGTGTATTTTTATGGCGAACATGGTGTTATGGTGAATGTGCACGGGGACAATGGGGACAGGGAAATGAACATTATTGTAGTGATTGTCATTTAGTTGATACACTTATCTTGTAATGCATCTGGTTGTGGCCTCAAATTCCCGTGCCTAGGAGCGACTGTGCGTGAGTGCACGAAGGTGTTCGGTCAACGTGATATGATTTCAGAGCCAGGGACGGACCCTAGAGGCCCAGGCACACGATGGCGATGTGGGAAGCATCGCCATCCCTTGTGTCACCCCCCGAGCGCCACCATCTTTTTGGCGGTACTCGGAGTGGTAGTGATGTGGGAGGCGCTAGTGGATGTGAGGTGCAGGGGGGAGGCCGCAGTGTTGGATCGATATGGCTCAGTCAAGCGGCTGCGATTGGGTGGAGGGATGGAGAGTGGAGACTGAGGGGATCGGCACCCCAACGACCCGGGCATCCAATGGCATGGATGCCGGACTATGCATCGAATTTGTCTACCCTCAGACTTGGGGCTATAATCCTTCTATTCTTGGGAGTGGCAATTCACAGAATGGCACAGCGGGGGAAGACCATGGAATGCGTTGCAGAGGAAGCGGTGATCAGGTGAACAGAGGCACTAGATGGTGCGTGTTGAGTGGCAGGTCAGATGGGTTATGTGTGATATGCCGTATGGGTATTAAAACCAATCAAGGCATTATAGATTATATTACATTCCATTATAAGAATTTTAATTTACTATAAACCGTCCCCTTGTCACTGGTATAGGGTGAGTGGTTTCCCTCAATTATGTATATAGTCTCAGGCTATGTAAAGTACTAAGGCATATAAATACTTCCTCTATCAGAGAAATATATATATATATATATATATATATTGTACCGTCTTGTAATGGGTGGTCCTGCATGAGTCATGGTGACTCACGTGCCATAGCAAGGTGGGTCCATGACCTTAGTGGGAAGGCGCCCACCATAGCATTAGTTATGTATCATTTGGTTTCGGAGCTAGGCCCCCATGGTCTGGCCCTTCCACCCGCGCGCTTGCGCAACAAACTGCGAAAGCAACCCGGCCGCCAAGCCCCAAGGCTCGGCGGGCCAAAGCCCGGGTATCTCTGTGGATATCCAGGGAAATTCCAGGGCCATCCTGCCCCGATGTGCCTTCTCCCGGCTGGAATGGTGGGAAGAGCGGCGAGGGGTATTTCCCAGCCGAAGACGCTGGTGTGAAGGGCGGATCACCACTTTCCGATGCAGCAAACCTTTGCCGCCAGCTCGCCAATTTGGCGAGTATGCTTGGAGACACAAACACCCACCTCTAGCAGATGGAGGAGGTGGCAAAAAGGGGGGACCCGGCGGGAGCACCACCAGCGCGATCCTTAAGGATCGTTGGCCGCAGGAGGAGGCAGGAGGGCACCCGAGGTGCCGAGGAAAGGACGGCCGGCAGAGGGCCTTCAACTCCCAAAGGACAGCAGGTCAGAGAGAGAACCTGGCAAGATCGATAGTGAGAAAGTAGGCGGCATCAGGCAGCTAGCCCCAATTCAAGGAGAGAAGGGAAAAGGTGAAGCCTCCCGCAAAGGGAGGTGCAACCCAGTGTGCGAGGCTGCCACAAAGGCGGCCCATACGAAGGCCTCGTGACCCACTGAAGGGGCCACGGAAATGGCCAAGCAAGCAATGGACGAGGGCCCACTTGATGCCCCCATGTCTGCCGCTACCCTTCACCAAGCGGTCGCCTTGGGGATAGAGGTGGGCCGTCCCGGAATGGGGATGTACTAGGAATGGGTACGGGAACGGGAACTGGGACGGACCGGAGTCCGTTCCCATCCTTGGGCCGGGAAGCCCAGGAACGGTCAAGGAACAACCCGTCTCTAAGCTAGAACGGACTCCGATGGATCTGGAATGGTGTGCAACCGTCCCAATTCCGTTCCTGCACAGTATAGCCTACCTAGAAGTCCGTTCCTGTACTGCCCATGGCATTCTAGAGTCCATTCCAAGCTGGTCCAGAGTCCGTTCCAGGCCATCCTAGAACCCATTTCAGGGTCCGTTCTACAATACATAACAACATCGAGTTCATGTGTGTACTAATAAGAATGCAGCAATCAGATTTGATGCATGAGCCGCGCGCCCCGCGGTCCATAAACATGGTGTCTCTACCACCCTATTGTGCAGTTTGCACTTATTGCGATGGGTGACAAGACCAAGCAGACACAACGGCGGTGTCTTGTAAGGGTTGGGGAGTCCTGCCCCCCGGCCTGACATCACCAAGGCGGTGCCCCACAGCGTGAGGTAGGGGATGCCAGCTTTACTGCAGGGGCACCCGGAAAAGGCAAAAGGCCCCCAAAGTGAGGGATCCAGGCATTAGAGGTGGCCCCCTCTATCCATCCACAACAGAATTTGGTTGGCTCCATTAAAATTCTGTATAGTCAACGGAATCTGTGGGCCATAGAGAGAAAAAGTGTCTAACAGAAAGGGGTAGGGCCATGCTGACATCAACATAGACGGCTATAGAAATCCACACAACCTTCCAGAATGAAACCACGTGTTACAAAATCCGCACCGCAGCCCACGGATGACAGGCCCCCAATAACGGAACCATTGAGTGGACCACAGAGATCGATAGAATTCCATCAACGTTAACGGAGCAACACACACCTTTCAAACACGTTGAACCCTAGTACAGAAATTCCATATACATAGCGGATGTGGGGTGTGATTGCTTGGGTCTTTGATGGATTTGGCAGTGCACACTGCTTGCCCCATGGCATCTCCATGGCCCCTTCAAATTGTTGTTGTCCATCACGCAGACAGAATGTACGCCCAAAGCGTTCCCAAGCCTAGTACATTCGATTGGCTGACATGTGATGTGGTGCCCCTGGGGTATGTGAAATGTTGCATCGGGCCCGCCTGCCGCCAATTGCCCCCATGGCATTGGTAACCTCAGGTGAGTGATGATGGCGGGGTGGGGCGGGGGGTTGCTGTTCTGCTTGGTTGGAGTACCGGCCGTGGCTTGGCCGGGAAAAAGCCAGTGTTGCTGGGCTCGTGGTGTGCATGGGCGGTTGTTGCTTCTCTGAGATCGTTTTGGGGTGGGGCCGGGGAGTTGCTGTTCTGCTTGGCTGGAGTACCGGCCGCGGCTTGGCCAGGAAAAAGCCGCTATTGCCATGGCTCGTAGTGTCCATGGGCGGCTGGTGCTTGTCCGAGATCGTGTCAGGGCGGGGCAGGGGGGGATTGTTGTTCTGCTCGGCTGGAGTACCGGCCGTGGCATGGCTAGGAAAAAGCCGTTGTTGCCAAGCTCGCAGTGTGCATGGGTGGCTGTTGCTTGTCCGAGATCATGTCAGGGCGGGGGGGAGGGGAGATCGTGGTTTTGCTTGGCTGGAGTACCGGCCGTGGACTGGCTGGGAAAAAGCCACTATTATTGGGTTTGCAGTGTGCATGGGTGGTTGTTGCTTGTCCGAGATCGTGTCAGGGCGGGGCGGGGGGGGACTACTGTTTTGCTCGCCTCGAATACTGGCCATGGCCTGGCTGGGAAAAAGCCGCAATTTCCGGGGCTCGCGGTGTCCATGGGCAGCTGCTGCTTGTCCGAGATCGTGTCAGGGCGGGGCGGGGGGTTGTTGTTCTGCTTGGCTTGAGTACCGGCCACGGCTTGGCTAGAAAGAAGCCACTGTTGTTGGGCTCGTGGTGTGCATGGGTGGTTGTTGCTTCTCCGAGATCATGTCGGGGTGGGGCAGAGGTTGTTGTTCTGCTCGGCTGGAGTACCGGTTGCGGCTTGGCCGGGAAAAGGCCACTATTGTTGGGCTCGTGGTGTGCATGGGCGGTTGTTGCTTCTCCAAGATTGTGTTGGGCTAGGGCCGGGGAGTTGCTGTTTCGCTCTGCTAGAGTACCGGCCGTGGCCTAGCTAGGAAAAAACACTATTGCCGGGGCTCGCGGTGTCCATGGGCAGTTGCTGCTTGTCCGAGATGGTGTCAAGGCGGGGCGGGGGAGGGGGGATTGCTGTTCTGCTCGGCTGGAGTACCGGCCATGGTCTGGCTGGGAAAAAGCCACTGTTGCCGGGCTTGTAGTGTGCATGGGTGGTTGCTGCTTGTCCGAGATCGTGTCAGGGATTGTTGTTCTGCTCGGCTAGACTACCAGCCATGTCCTGGCTGGGAAGAAGCCG